TTACATCTTTATGTCGCGAAATATTTTTACGCCTCCTCTCTAAGTTTCTATCTGATACCACGTTTTCACACTTCTCCGCCACCTGTAAGTTTGCATTTCGACACGTCTGCGAGTAAATGGTTTACTTTCTGTACTGTCAAAATTTTCGTAGTTTTCTGCCGTTTTTTTCTTCTTTTTCTTACTTTTCTGAGCGAATTTTCTCTCCGGATATCACGCGTTATTGCGACGCCGCTCATACCGCAATATCGCGAGATCATCTTCCTTGTAGCACCTTCTTCTCGTTCCGCGGAACAGTTTCGTGACAAACAAACTCACCGATATTACAAGTTCCCTCCTCGAGTGGAAACGTCTAACGAGAGGGCACGCCTGCCACTTAACTCTGACTTGTCAAGTCCTCTTATTAACCCTCAGGTGCCTGAACGAGCACTGGTGCTTTTACTCGCAAGCAGAGAACAAATGAAATACACCGGTGGAAATTACGTTTTCTATACTGTATAAACCCTTTTTCAATCGTACAAATAGCTTCTCTAATTTTTGAGATATTCACTCTTAAACCTTTCACTCGCTGCTGCAGCCTATAGGCGGTTTGAATATTTTCCCGCGCTGCGACCTTGGTGCCTATAGGCGTTTCAAATATTTTCTCGCGCTGTAAAATTAGCGCCTATAGGCGTCGCGAAAATTTCCTCGCACTGTACCGCGCTTTCACTTTAATTTAATCCTTAATTTTTGCCCTATGCTCACTTGCACCTTAATTCGATAAAATTGTAAATTAGTAAATCTAATTTTAAAATTTTAAACGGATCTCACAGATATATTTGATTAAAAATTTCCAAAAATTACCGTAAAGCGAGGAAAATTCGATACTTTCGCGTTTCGTTTCACTTCTCGCGAAGTTCGACTGATAAATTCGCTCGCGAACGCACAGTGTCTTATCTCTCGAAGCACAATATTGCAGAGAGTAGAATTACTCCGGCAACGTTGACATTCGTATACGAGAGTTTAGAAAGACCGCAGTGCCGTATTTTCACAGTAACACTTCACAGTAACACTGTTACACTTTATGTAATATGAAACTGTGAAAACATTCGGCGAAGTATGTAGGTACAACTAATGTTATAAATGATTTAACCAGACGGCGTACCGGCAGACGTTACTCGAAGGTTGCCAGTTGTTATAGTTACAAGCGATAACAATAAGCGCCGGTTCTACGTGAACTTTTGCAAAGTCAGTTAACGATGAAACGGTTTGAAAGCAATTTGCAGAATACATACAACAACTGACGCGAAGTGTAACATGTTAATCGAATGTTCTCACATCATGTGAACCTACAATCTCTTCTTTTTTTTTTAAATACAAATTAAGCGAAAATAACAGTTCATTTCTTTCTGCCAATGTCAATTTTCAGATGAATTTTCTCAAAGCTACACTTCCGCACCGATGTTCAATTTTTATACAATTCAAAACGGTAAAAATTGCGAAAAAAGTGGTGTTAATCAGTTTGGCTCGCGAACGACTCGATTATTCCAAGAAAAACTGTCTATATTATGAAATTTCCTCGATCGATATTCTACTATCGTTGTCCAACGCGCTGTACAATCGGGAGAGAAAAAAAATCGTCCATCCAGCTACGATATGACGCGTGTGCACGACGAATTTAACCACCAATTACCTGACCATTGTCCCCGATGAATTATCCGTGACGAGGCAAGAATCGACGGATGCAAAAATACCCTCTCTGCTCCTCCTCCTCTATTATACCTGCGCGTATTCCGGATCTCTATATGCATCTGAATGGCTCATCTGTCGCGAGATTCCCAGCCAATTTGAATCACTACGACACGAGGAACCATTGTACGGAACCGTTTCGACGTGTAAACTTTGTAACGCTGTATATTTTTCTTTAAAATGTATTCAGAGTTTTCCAAGTGAAAATTGCATCGGTGTGCAAATATTTTCGCGACCGACTGTACAGCAGCATGCAACGAGCGAACGCGAGGAATGAAACAGTTAACTCTGGGCGCCGTGCAATGATACGAAAAATCATAACGCGAGAGATTAAAGAATTTATACTTGGTATTATACGAGTGCTTTTCTCGGTATTACGAACCGTGTATATTTCACACGATATAAAGATGAAATTCGAGTACACATTCGAGATAATTTCGTGATTTGACGCGATGTTACCGACGGTTCTTGGAGAACAGTAGGAGGGAACAATTACTAGGATTTATAGTTTGTGATTGAAACGAGTGATTCGTGGGGGGGTAATAAGATACCATTTTAGAGATAATCGATGGATTATGTATCGTCGTTTTATCGTTGCAATCGTGGATCACGTAATACTACGTTTTATGGGTGATTTGCTGATATATTGGACTGGAATAGGATAGTCAATGTTGCGATAAAATAATGGATTTGTATAACGTGTGTTCGTTTACCATTAATAGCTTGATAAACTTGTAGTATTACGTTCTACATATTAACACTAATACGTATCGTATTCTCTGAAGTAACGGATCTCTGATATACGAAGCTTAAGATCGGTAGTATACGGAGGGTTGCCCAATTTCAGGCGCCTTTGGCCCGATTCTTTGAACACTTATAACTCTCGAACGAAGCACTATTTCCAATCTTCTTATTCTTCACTTTCGACTGCCTTCTTTATGCAGAATAATTTTCAAAAATTTATTCAATGATTAACAATGTTTTTCAATAAAAGTATTCTATTTCAATTTAAGCTGAATACCCTACAACAGGTTTTCGAAAATTGTTACATTTCCTTGTTGCAGCTGTTGTTACTTATTCTTTACACGTGAAAAAATTTTGTATCAAGTAACGAATTGGAAAGTGTACGTACCTGAGTTGGAACCTTTTGTATCCAAAGGCGGCGGGGGGTCATCAGGTGGCCTGTACATGGTATCTTCCGCCTGAGCAGGCGTGACGCTGGGAAAATAAGAAAGAAAACAACGTATTGTTATTAAATATCGATCGGTGGTCCGCCTCGTAACTAGACACGTCGTTAGCGGCGCACCGGCGCCGTTATTTTTCCAAGGATCAATTTTCCCCGACGGGGGCGTGACGAAGTGAAACTGCGGCTTCCTTAATAAAGCGGTAAATTGGGGAGTTAATAGCCTGCGTAATTGATGGAAACGCGACGATCCAGATAACGAAATGCAACTAGCCATGCCCTGATTCGCGTCTAGCCTAAACCGGCGGCCTTTAATCAGCGCGAATCAAACCCGAATATTCGAGATCGACGATAATCCGCTACGTCCGCGCGTTGTCGAGCTGTCGTTTTCGAATTCTCAATTTACAATCTTCGGAATTTTCGAATAATCAAGCTTTCACATCTCCCAAATTTCAATTTCCAAACTTTCGAACGTTCGAACATTCAAATTTCCCAATTCCCAAACTTGCAAATTTTCGAATTCTGAAATTTACGAATGTATCATTGTACTGCAGTTTCAGTCGCGTGAAATTTCGACGAACGACAGTACTCGTCCGCACTCTACCACAACTACGGCCATTCTTAACAGCAGAAGGACGAAGTTAAAATTAAACATACCACCAACTGCACTCCGAAACGAAGATACAAATTTCTTCCGCAAGGGACGAGTACTTTTTTCCAATATCTTTCTCCATTAAGCGTCCCTAATGCGCAAGCACGTCTTTTTTCCCGGAACGAAGGAGCAGAATTTTCCCTCCAGCGGTACAAATTAACTCGAAGAAGGATCATCGATGTATCAAAGCGAGGCGTTGCGAATTTTAACGAATTCGAGGCAGTGCCATTCGTGGCAACCGTTAACGAAACACTCCAGTATCCTCGACAATTCTTATTCTAATTCTCGTTTCCCCCGCGTAGATTTACCAGAAAAGGAACGTCGTTATACCGAAGGACATTCGAGAGAAAGGAGAGAAGAGAGAAAAGTACAACCATCCTGGAACGCCCTTAATGAACGTCCTTTGTTCGATGACGAATTAAATTTAGAACGACCGATGCGTCGTACCGTCATTAATAAAAGTCTTTGCTCTGCCAATTAAGCCTTTCCTTCGCAGCATTCGCCGAGTGCTTGGAACCTTCATTACAGCGAAAAATAACAACTGTTCGTGAATCACTGTGGATTTATAAATTAGCTGGAGTTCAGAATACAAAAGTTTCTCATTTCTAATTGAATTTCCTTGCAGGTTTTATGAATTAAACAAAGACTGATCGCGTCGTTTTATCAAGTTTAAAAATGATACTTGAAATTCTTCAAATATACGAGTTTGTTTATTAGTAAATGTTCATATTTGTCGCTTCAAATTTAACCAACAATTCGGAAAGAATTTTCGTCTACTAAAATATGACGAATTTACAAAAACCTATTATCACGCAATCTTGAAGTTCTAAGAAAAGTTTGAATAAAAATTCATCTATAGAAAATTGAAAAATACCTTCTATTACAATTTTCACCTTGATACACCTCTATACCAGAGTTGGGCAGTAATTAATTCTTTTGTGATCGATTATTTAACGTAATCATAGTAACTGTAATCATTAATCAGTCAATCATCGTTGAGATAAATCAGTAATCGTGATTACCGTCTGTAATTTGCAATCGTTAATCGGTAATTTTTATATCGTTCAATGATTAATTATATTTTACACGGAATGTTTGAAATGCGAGTTGTATTAACAGCAAATTACACTGAAAATAAGCATGTAACTTGTTCCAAGGATTTTCTATGCAAAACTATGTAAAAAATAAATATATTTCTAAAAAAAAATGTTCACAGTGTTGTTATTACAGCGAAAGTACAGATTAAATCAATATGAGAAATGCATTTAATAAAGCAATCACGAACATCGATTACAACAACTTCTAATTCCTTTCTTACTCATTAGCCCCTTAACCTATGATTTCTTCCCTGACTATGCAGCTAAGCGTCCGCCATTTAATGTTTTAGTACTGTATCAGGTAACGAAAGCTAATCTGTTACAGATTAAGTACATTCAGGAATCCTTAATCTTACAAATTAAAACGAAAGTTAGGATTACAATGAATTGTTCTTACTAATATATCTATTTTTCTCACATCTTCACCAGAACCTCTGTCACGAGTCTGAGACGTTGTTGTAGGTTAAAGGGTTAATCAACGATTACCGATTATTTAGTAATCAGTAGTCACGATTAATAATTGGATTTTATATTAATGGTAATTTTCAATCATTAATCGGATTACGTTTCGCCCAACTCTGATCTATACAATGATCGCCTTAAATTTTTCCGCTCAGAAATGTCCCTTAGGATGACTACGCTATCCTTTTTATCACTTGTTTTTCTCCCTCCAAGTTTTCAGGGCGACCTTCGGTGTTTTTCTAGTTGAACGCAGATCTATCGCAAAAAGAAGTTCACCTTGAGAAGTTGAAAGAAAAAAAAACTGATAAAAATATACGCCACGATAATCTTACGAGTCTCTTCGTCCCGTATTATGCGACAGAAAAGAATTTTTCATCGTTCCAACTAACAAGAGAACAATTTCACGCTGAAAACTGTAAATGAAGATTGTCGAGATCTCTTTCTCGAATCATCGTCCTCCGGAATTATCGTTGAAGTTCGAGAGAAAATGTTCCCCTAAAAGTACCACCGTACGAAGGAATATCGAGGAGAAGCAGAAAATGTCGTATTCAGTCGGTAAACAGATAAAAATACATGGAAGATTTATAGCCTGGAGCGTGACAATCTTGTCGGTTGGCCTGTGACGATTCTATTTCTCCCGTGAAATTCCCTCAAGGATGCGCCGTATCAATGGCGGCGTGTGCGAGTTACCCCGCGGGGCATCCCCTCATATCGCAATAAAGGAAGTTTCGCGCTACTTTGCCGAAGGTAATTTTCTGGTCAACGGCTACAAGCTGCGGAATTGCCTCTAGAAATATAGCTCGTCTCCCCGACCGTAGCGATCTCGTCGCCTCTTTCTCTCACGAACAATTATATCTATGCATTTGTCGCGCGCTCTTGCGTAATTTGACGATAGACGCGTTTCGCGTTAAATGAACGAGTTACGAAGAAGAAACAAGTGGAATTATTTCTATCCTTTCTGTTTAGAAAAATTCGTTCGAATTTGGGCGATTTAATTTGCTTCGAAGCTGAAAATTTCTTGAAGATTTAATGTTTTTTTCAAGATTTCAGATTTCCGGCGCAAAAATGGGTTAAAAATTACACTAAAAATTCGGCTGTAAAAAGTAAAATAATGGTGGTCGAATGATAAGTAGGGGAGACTGGGGAGGGTTGATAAGTTTTCGATAGAAAAGATTGTGTAAACGAAACTGAATAATATTTTAAAGATCTTTTTGTATATTCACATTCAACATCCTGTTCTTTAACAAAAACAAACATAAATGTTTTAAACTTAGCCAAAAACTGTATTAAAAAAATGTTACTTCGTAAATGATGTAAAACGTCTCAAGCCTCGCACGCACCTGAGGGAGGGTTGGTACATAATAACAGGAGATATGAGGCGTAAAAACAAAGCAGTCTATTTCGTACAAATTTCACAATGAAACATCTTTGTTCGAATGTTTAACCCAGCACATTGTATGTGAAAAACATTTTTCGGCGACCAAAATGAAGAGTACATATTTAGGTATGTATGTCAAAAGTTGACGAATTTTATGCTTCACGTGGAAAAAGTTTCAATTCACAGGAACATCGTTGAATTTCCACCGAGCTACTCTGCGCCTCTCTTAAAAGACAGATATCGAAGAAGCATCAGCATATTTCTGCATTCCCTTGCGGAACGCGCGAACGACCCTAACCGACCGATTCCGCCATCTTTCCACCGCGTCGAACGTTACGAGCAATCGTTACTCCGCAAATGCCCGTGGAAAAAGAAGAGAAATTGATGTCACGGATATCGATTTCCTTGGTCGGAAACGACGATCCACATTCTTCTAACGAACGTTACGTTTCAGAAGAAAAACCTCTCTCCGCACGTGAGACACGCGAGAGGTTTCCACGCGTGGATAACGGTCGCAAACATGACCTATAAGTAACACGATTGGCCAGGTTTTACCGATAGGCAGCATCAATTTTATCCGTTCAGCTTTCGTTTGCAAGGAAACGTTTTCTTCTCTCGTTCCTTCAGGATTGAACGAATCTTTCGGTATTGACCCTTTCCATCTGTGTTATAGTTGCAAAGAACAGAAACCAATCGTGAATGTTTATTGTGCGATGTATACCTAAAGTTTAACCAGCGAGTTAAATTTGCAGAGTTTGCTTGTTTCATCAGACCAGTGTATTTGTACCAGGGGAAATTGTTTTATATAATCTATAAACTGTAAGAGAGTGTTCTGGATATCGTGACGTAACTGGATAGGAGGTGATTCCTCGGGTGGAAGTAAGTTGAAAATATAGAGCGAAAGATGGTACAGGGTTTTGCGCAACAACTACAAAACGATCGTTATAACTTTAAGATAAGTTATAAACGACTCGTATAGCGCTCTCTGTAATATTGCACCTCCAGTACTGTGACGACTCTTACAGCAATCCGATTTTGTCTGTAAATCTGGCTCTATTTGCAATAGTGCATTTTCAACACTCTGACGACTTTTACAAAACTTCGACTCTATCTGCAACACTCTTT